GATTGGGCTACTAGTTAAAAGGTTACAGCCCTTTGAATTTTCTTTCCAAATTGGGTTCTAGTCTATAACTTTTTATTGAAAAGTCTGATCGAAAAAGTACGAATTGTTTAATTCTACGCACCAAAGTTAATAAGAAAAAGTTTTTTCCCGAGAAATTTTGGTGCAGTCGATTTTTGGTAAAAACCTTTTTGAGCTCCGAAAAAAAAATTGTTTCAGATCGACCCGGAAAAAAAATTGGTTTCTAGCCTGGTTAGGTATAACCAAAAATCTGTTTTTTGAGGCTCGAAAAAAAAATTGTCTCAGATCGACCCGAAAAAAAAATTTTCTTATAGAATGTGGCCTGTAGAATCCATAATTTGAAACAGTTCCAAGATTGGGCTACTAGTTAAAAGGTTACAGCCCTTTGAATTTTCTTTCCAAATTGGGTTCTAGTCTATAACTTTTTATTGAAAAGTCTGATCGAAAAAGTACGAATTGTTTAATTCTACGCACCAAAGTTAATAAGAAAAAGTTTTTTCCCGAGAAATTTTGGTGCAGTCGATTTTTGGTAAAAACCTTTTTGAGCTCCGAAAAAAAAATTGTTTCAGATCGACCCGGAAAAAAAATTGGTTTCTAGCCTGGTTAGGTATAACCAAAAATCTGTTAATCTTTGAGATAAATTCGGTTAAAAAGAAAAGGTATTAAATCAACTTATTTATTGTTACCTTTATTTTAAATTCAACGTACTGTAAGTCCATTTTATTTGCAGAATAAAACTCTTAGACACACGAGTACTTCCTTTAATAAAAACCTGTAGCCCAGAAACTACTAACACGCAAACACTTTTCCAGCAAATTTTTTAAGCTGGACGTGTCTTGAAAAATTTATGATTAAGTTAATTTACTAATTGAATTCGCGGACCAGGGTGGCTTGTAACCGTTAGCAACTGCACACAGTTATATTTACTGAATATTATTTATGTGAACCCATGTGTCTAGATCTAGCACCCAGCGACTATTTTTTGTTCCCGACTCTCAAAAAACACCATTGGCCGTTTGCACCAACAAATTTAAGCGGAGCTTAGCTTAACCGTAGCTTAAAACCCGTAGCAACCATTGTCTCAATAATCGTTGCCATGGATTTTAAACTATGCTAGGGCTGAGCTCTGCTTAAATTTGTCGGTGCAAACTGTCATAAGGGGGACAAAATATAGGAATAATAACGAACTTATAGCAGCTGGTGAGGGCCATTTTGCAGAAAAACCAAATGTACCTGTATTCAAAAACAGGGGAACTAGGTATATTGAAAAATGAATTTTTTTTGTTAGTTTTTGTTAAGTAAAATGCATTGAAATGCAGATGGAATGAGCAAAGCTTTCGAGTTAACTTATACACCCTCATACCCTATACTTATTTTAATTACAAATGCTTTATGAAAATATGTAAAACACAGTCTATTTTACAAGGGAATAAATCATTTGTATTTAGCTCATTGTGTTTCACAAGATGTTAAACACTGCAATGATAAATATAAACTTACCTTTCATGAATTGAAATATTAATAAAAAAAAATAAGAACACATTAGTAACAAAAAGTCCATACATTTTGTATTTAGGGACACGAAGCCAACACTCCAGTTCTGTAGAAATGATCTCGTGTGCTCCTAATCTGTAGCAAATGTAACATAGGTGACTCAATGGGAATTTACAGATGGCATTGCAACTGAGGGCGCATACGCTCTCATATATAACTTCCTGATCACTGCCTTTAATGACGTAATTTGTAATAGATTAATTCTTAGTCGGATGTCGTTTTGATCTATACGTGTCAGTTTCTTAATCACATTACATCTGCTAATTCTCATAGGTATATATGTAGGTGTAATATAAGGGCAAAAGTTCTGTTTTAATACAGTAGGTAGTTTGAATTTGATTAATATTAAGTTAAGTATGACTTTCTTGTATGAATCTATTTCATCATTATTTGTTGTAGGTACTTATAGTTTTCTTTGATATATCAGTATGCATTCATCGCAGTAGGTATACGAGAGGTAATACATTTCTATGTATATTATAGTTTGAGCTGTATGCCAAAAAAAAACTCGTATCATTTCGTGTTGAAAGCAAATCATTTAGCACATACTTAAATCATTAAAACTACAAGCTTTGATTTGATTAATAGACTTCAAAATTTTGGATTATCTTAAATGGAAATTCAAGTTATCATTTTGTACATGTACCTAGGTAATTTTTACCACTGATTATACATAGGTAGAGTACATACATATGTTAACTGTTTTGTAGTACCTACAATAACTTTTTTCGTTACACTGCTTAACAGTAATATTGGGCGATAATTTGCTTACAATACTGCATAAAGCAATGTATAGTTGTGGTTATTATTCATTTATGAAATGGGTTTTTTCTCCTACAATCTACATATTAGGTAATTAGGTATCTTAAAATTATGTCACCATCATCTTCATTTATTTCATTGGTAGATCGAGTAAAAATGTTAATTGTCATTTTAAACAAAAATTATATTTAGAAGTTGGCGTGTTTTAGAATGAATAATATACTTATTCTGTCAGTCAATTTTGTAGAATTGTTTTCTTTTTCATAAAAAGAATAAATACATGTTCTAATTGTGCTTTTAAATAACTTTAATAAAAATATATTATACCTATCCCTGATTAGTCAAATTCCTATACTTAACGAAAAATAAGAATAACCAAGCAAAAATACTCAAGTGTGATTCACATTATCTCTTATATGCTAAAAATGCTAAGGGGAGGATGGGTACTTTCTTCAAATATCGAAAAAAGTTGTTCTAAATGCAGTGTTTAGCCAATACTTACCATTGAATTTGATAGATATAAAATTCAATTCCTCCAGTGCGTAAATTTTAACTGTGAATATACAATTCAAATACCCCTTAAGATATGCAACCAAAGTTACTTGTACTTTTATCTTTTTCAAATGTGTTTCAATCTTAGATCATATATGAAGATCTAAGGTTTCAATAACGTAGTCGAGTCAATGAAGCCTAAACATCGATCAAACTTCTTAATTCTCAGCAACAGCTGCGATTTTGATAATTTTTCTTTAAAATGCATTATTCAAAATCAAAAACATTCCGAAGGAAGTGGAGTTTTTCGACTCGAGTACAAAGTTTGACACATGAGCGTAGCGCAGTTGGCGCGTTGCCGCCTACAAGAACTGTCAATTCTAATAACGGCCGAATAACACATTGGATAGGATCAAACAAAAGAGCTAGAAGGAAAAGGAAACAAAAAATCTCCAGTAATATACAGACGACAATTCACCTCGATTATTTTGGACGAATCAAGTAGTTTAATTTTTTTAAATCGACCAATGAGAAGCTGAAATAAAAAATAGCCGCGGCAATTTTTTGACAGAAAAGTTGTCACGACAATTTTTTGAGGTTTTTATAATGTCAACGCTGACATATTAAATTGAATTATTTACATAACTTTATAATTGATAATTAAACAAATTCACTGGAAATTACAATATTGTAAAATGTACAATTCTTAAACCTAGTCATGGGAAAGCTAGGTTGGACTCATTTTCGGGTTTAAAACTATTTTCTGGCAAAGCTAGACTGGACTCATTTTCGCTTTTATCGATTTCTCCTCACCTTTCCAAGCGCCCGTCTCGATTTTCGTCACAACAAATACTCGTATCTGCAGTATGCAAAAATTACCGACAGTTTTCGGATCTCTTGTATTATACAGGGTGGTGACTTGCGTAACGCATCATAGGGATTTCAATGTAAAATTCATAACATACGATTATTGGCCCCCCAAATTATTTTAGAGCAAAGGTTTTTTGTAGAAAAAAATTTTTTACGTCTATCAACCGCATTACTTTTCAATTTTTTGCATAATAAAGACGGAAAATTGGAAAAATAAAACCCGCATCTTTTTCAATCATCCTGTTGATGCCTTGGAATTTTCTAAAACAAAAAGCTATCCAGTTATTAATTAGCAGCAGTTCGAAATGGATTTTATGTTCGACTTGGTTACTGTCTTGCAGTTAATGGTGACTTATTCGAACATTTATTGTAAATTGTTATAATAGGAAACCGTTTTTAGTAATTTGGTATTTCTTTATGTTGAATTCGCTGTTCTAATTAATATAATACTTTTTGATAGCATTTGATTTGTTTTATAGCTGACGTTCCATGGCATGACGGATATTAGCGTAGTTTTTTTATTATAAAATTCCATGGCATCACAGATTATTGCAAAGGTGCGGGTGTTATTTTTCCAATTTTCCGTCTTTATTATGCAAAAAATTGAAAAGCAATGCGGTTGATTGACGTAAAAAATGTGTTTCTACAGAAAACCTTACATTTTTGCTCTAAAATAATTTGGGGAGCCAATAACCGCATGTTATGAATTTTACATTGAAATCCCTATGATGCGTTATGCAAGTCACCACCCTGTATATAACAATGGTTGTGGCAAGTGTACAATAACTAAAGTTGTAGTACCTACACGAGGAGAAAACATTTCTGAATGTAAAAGTACAGAAAGGCTTTTTCTTACACATTTCGGCCTGCACAACATAAGTGTGTATTCTCAAATACATCATGTTAGATTACATTTGAACTCGCCTTAAGTTTGATTTCCTGTAGGAACAGGAGGGAACGAAGTTTGTAAAGCGGTAAATTACCGTTACGCATTCAACACCTGTAATTTTTTCCTATGATCCAGAAACAAAATTTCAGTCATTTCTACTGATAAATTTATGTTCTTTGTTCAGCTATTATTTACATTACTTTTGTCTTTCATTGGTTGTGCATCTGATCTGACTCTGACCAATCAATAAATGCAAATTGGTAGTGATTTATCCTATGTACTGTAGTGGCGGTACATTACCGTCAAGCGCCCGCCTATGCTACAGTTGGGGACGTGCCCGCATGAAGGTTAAAATGTTTTTTGGACCTTTGGAGACCCTTAAGCTCTTGGAAGGATTATGGTTTAGAAGTCAATAAAATAAACGATAAATCTATTTAATTACAGAAATAATTACTCCGATTCACTACCACTCGACTCAAAATCACCAACATCAATGGTAAATTTATACTCCTGATCACATCCTAAATATGCATCACTCATAAAATACAAAGTGTAGCTATGATGCCCAGGACTAGGAGCAACAAAATCCAATTTTATCCTTGCCTTCTGCTGTAAAGTTAGTCTTTTGATTGACAACAGTGAATTACTCTTCGGATCTCCAATAACAACCCACCATCCTTCTTCTCTTTTCTATAATTGATTTTCATTAGCGTTAGCGGTAATACACACGATCTTACCTGAGGGAAAAATGGTGCAATGACTGGTCCGTTTACCTCATCTTCTCTCTCCAATTGTACGGCCACGTGTACTGATGAGCCAGAATGAATACGGTCTTTATCCAAAACTTCATAACTTAACTCGATGTTAGGATATCGATTACAAAATCTTGCAACATCTGCCATTTGTGTATCACTAAGCTGTAATAATTTGGACCGATCTTCATCTTCTAACTCCATTATGTCAAATACGGTTTCGACACCCTGTAATTAATAGTTTGAGAAATTCAAACAGAAGGTATAAACTGACCTTATCTGAGCATCTCTTAATGATATCCGCATTGAAATGTGGTAACTGTTTCAAATAAGAATCTTTGCTCCACATTGCCTGAGTAACCATTTGTGCCAATTCCATAGCGGCAACTGCAGGTGACAGCCAACCGTTCGAACTCAGTACATCAACACAAGCTTGTATTAGTCGAATCGCCTTTCCCAACACTATCTCAGTATCGCCCTGTAATTCTGCGCCGAGCTGTATACGACACAAATGTGCCTGCAGTAACAAATTCGTTTTGATGTGCGGATCGTTAAATTTAGGTTGTCCACCACTGGCGCTCGTTAACTTGTTGGGTAAGCGTTGCGAAAGACTCCTAAGTAGATTATCTTCGCGATGTCTTACCGGAATGTCTTCGTATTCTGCTGCGGACGATATTATCTCCAATAATCCGCGTATCTTCGTTTTGTTATTTAGTGATAAGCTGAATAATTCTAAAAAAACATGAATATAGTAAGTAATGCGTGGACACAATGAGCCAAAGTAGATGTTTAATTCATTTTTTTGGCGATAAAGAAGTTATGGTTAAGAGTCTTCTGTACCCACTGCACCCAATGTAAATTTCCATAAGAGCGCCCGCCATAAAAACTCTAGTAACAATTTTTTTTAAGAACTATTTTATAAATTTAGACCTTTATCTACAAAATGTTCGGACTATTTTTTTTTAAGTTTATAGCAACTGAATACCGATTGTTTAAAGATTAGATGTTTCGCACCGATTATTGCGCTGATCTGTTTTATTTTTTTACTCTCGATCAAGACGATTTATGGAAAAAGTAAACCGACAGTTTTTTAGATAAGTTACTTCTAAACATAACCCCAAAAAATGAAATCATAATTTTTGTAAATAAAGTCTGTATCTTGGCGGGCGGTAAATCAACAATTTGAGTGTAACAAGTGGCGCCGCTGCACAGTGTCGGTGGGAACTAACTAAGGACCAAGACAGGAGTTGACAAAGCAAGAAATTCATCTTATCTCTTGCAGCTATAATCATCTATACACTAAAATGCAAAAAAGTTGCGCTTAGGTAAGGAAGACTCTTAATAAAGAAAATTGACTAAACGCCCTCTAGCGGCCAAGCGGTTTGAGAAGAATTTGTCCTTGAGGAATGAAATTCTTAACAAAAACGTACCTATTGTTGTGTAATTGATGTAATAGTACGCTGCAATCATTCCCAAATTTAAAGGTAAACAGTCCATCTCCTCCTCTATGCTAATACACTTTGACTGTTCTAGATCGGACAATGTGTTTTCGACAAGCTCTGATAGGTGATCAGATAAATGGCGATGTGACACTCCTTGCAAGTTGTAATAATTGGGATTTTGAGTAAGCCTTCTATACAAAAACGTCCATGTCAAGTAGTCGACTGCATCTTGCTTATTTTCTATTGTTTTAGTAACAATTTCTGCGTTGAAGTGATCATGAAGCCTGTGATCTAAATGGCTCTGAAAGAATCAATTAATTACTAATGATGATTCGACAAATGGATAATAGTTTGTACATCTATTTATTATTTATTATTATTATTATTTATTAAAGTTCTTTTTTGAGCCGAATCAAATTCCTTTTTTTTTCCTTTTCGAATATTGTAACGACAATCAACACATCACAAACTACAGTATCACAACAGTTAAGGGAATAAAAAGAAATTAACACAATAAAAAAATTTGGGAAATTGTCAATAAAATTTCCATAAATAATAAAAAATCTTACCTCAACAGGAAGAGAATCATTTAAAAACTTTTTGAAGAAATCTTTTTTAGAATTTTGGCACATCAGCACACATTTAGCATCGTCATCCTCTAGTGGTCTGTTTGCTCTTCCAACCATCTGTAGTACATCGGTAACAGGATAATCCTCGTAGGCGTGTACTTTTCCATTATAATACTGTGTATCCATAATTATTACAAGATGGGCGGAGATATTTACAGCCCAACATAAATCTCGCGTAACGACAGCAATTTGAACGGCGCCAGAATCAAATAGCTGTTCTACCAGTCTATGGTCGCTGGCCGTGAGACCTTCATGCATGTATGCGACTCCTTGCGACAAAGTCTCCTTTAGCGTCTGCAATTATTGACATTTGTAATGAAAATAAATAGTGTAACAGTTACATACTTTATCGGACATCCTATCCAAAAATGGTTTGATGTCATCTTCTTCTGCGTGGAAAAATCTGTTGGGTTGTCCCTCTGCCGATGTGTATGTTAATATATCAATTGCGGTTAATCGTGCTTGTTTGCGTGTGGGTACGAAAATGATTACCGGCTTGTGGGGACTGTGACGAATTATCGAGTTGTAGACAGGTTTGGCCATTGCAATTAAACGCGAGGCATTATGTGTGATATTGATGCCTTGAACGTGTAGCTCCAATGTTATTGGCCGAACACTGGGATGAAAGTTGAACGTCGCGTTCGCATTGCAACCCAACCATTGGGCTATATCTCGATAGTCCGCTATCGATGCGGAAAGAGCGATGATCCTGATTGGGCGTTCAATTTGTGATGAAATGTATCTCATTCTCGAACACACAACTTCAATAACCGGCCCATCTTCTCCCCCCAAAAGATGGAGTTCGTCAATGATAAACAAATGAACGTTTTGAACATTCTTCCTTTGCTTCCAACGTCTGGAGAGGATATCCCACTTCTCGGCGGTCGAAATCACCACTTGACCCTTGGCCAGCAGTTTTAGGTCAGTTCCAGTTTCACCAGTAAGCAAAACCACTTTCTTGCTCAAAAGCTGACCAAATTTATTATGCCAATCCGCAAAAACCAACTCGGCTAACGCGTCTTTCGGCACCAAATAGACGCAACGCGCCTCTGGGTTTTGCTGGAATAATCTCAAGACGGCGTATTCGGCTATAGCAGTTTTGCCAGAGCCCGTCGGGGCGCCCACGTACACGTTGTCGTCGCTGTTATACACAGCATTAAATACTTGGGTCTGTATGGGATTAAATTGAGGAAACTTATCTACATACAATGATTCGAATTTTGAATTTCGTAGGGCGGTTATCGGTAACGGTTGTAAGTCCAACAGTTCGGTGGGTGGAAAGTTTTTCTCTGGCAAGATTAAATGGCGGAACGAAACAGGCAATTGTGTTTCTGATCCGATCCAGCGATCGGAAACTATCCTCAGGAAGTATTGTGGGGGAAGCGGTTCGAAGACGGGTACAAAAAACTTGATGAGATGTTCGTCGGCAGAAAATTTCGCTTTCAATAAAAAGTACTCGTGATGCAAGATTACTTCGGAATCGACATCCTCGACTAAAATCCAAAATGCTTCAGATGCACCGTGCAGCTTGTCATCCCATTGGAAGTCGGGGGTAATTGTGAGTTCAACGCGAAGAGTTGACCGTGTGATCGGTTGAATGTGAGTGGATAATTCCAATTTTGGAAATTGGTGGACATACTTGTGAATGGTCTTGCCTAGTTTGGGCACGCGAATTAATTCTCCAATTTCGTTTGGCCCAAGATCGTACAATCTTTCCCAGGGGAAATTTTTCTTTTCGATCTTCTTAACGATTTCTTCGGGCATTTTGCGAAATTGTCTCAATGGGGACATTGACTGCCACATGCGCCGGTCAATCATTTTACATAAGGCCAAGGATTTGTCGGCCAATTGTGCCCAGCCTCTGTGTAAGACGATTTCAAAGATGGCGCGCATAAGACGCGACGCCGACTGTGTTATAAAGACCATGTCTGACATCAGCGCGAATCCCTCCAGTTTCAACTGGGAGATGTAGGCCTGCAGAAGAACGTTGACTTTAGCACTTGGCTCCTCAATACTTTCTTTAATGGGGATAGGAACTCGTTCCATTAGTTTCTGCAATTCCAACTTTTCTTCTTCCCTCACCGCAATGTGCTTAAATTCTCCAGACAAAGAAAATACGCGGAACAATTCAATTTCGCTGAGCATGGGTTTTAATAACTGGTTGTAGGTGGACATCGTTTCATGGGTGCAATAATAATGGGACGCAATCCTACCCAATTCGGTTACTTGGAAATGTCCAGTCTTCCGATCATATTTAACCAGACCACTTCTGTCGAGTACCACAGCCGCCGTATGAACCAAATCAGCACGATGCTGCTCGAGTAAAGGATCTTGCTTCAGAGCGTCATAGGAAATTGCATACAAATTGGGCTGGCGCAACATTCGTATATACAAATAGGAGTAGCCCAACCAAGTGACCGCATCTCTAACATTTTGAATTGTGCCTAACACAATTTCGGCATTTAGCATGTCTGGCAATTTGGAGACCAGCTGGGATTCGATCGGTAACTGTTGATTCAGCAATGACAAGTAGTACTGTAGCTCACTGTGATTGGTAATTAAAATTCCTTCACCTTTGGTATCATATTGAGGACGTCCGGCACGTCCCAACATTTGAAGAACATCCAAAGCACTAAGTTCAACCCAACGTCCCTTCTCCGGGTTATAAATTTGAGTGCCTTTAATTATTACAGTATGCGCGGGAAGATTAACACCCCAAGCTAAGGTCGCTGTTGAAACAAGAACTTGAATGTGCCGATCTGCAAACAAATCCTCCACCAACGTCCTGTCCACACGAGTCATACCGGCGTGATGAATCGCAAAACCATAGGGAAGCAAATCCTTCAACTCGTGATTCTTAACTTGTTCCGCCTCAGTTCGAAGAACCTCCATAGATGCTGATCCTTCACGTAAAAACTGTCCAAGTGTGTCCTTCTCCAAGCACATATCTCTAATGGCACGAGCAGTCTTACCCGTCTCTTTTCTAGAGTGCACGAATATCAACACTTGATTACGACCGGCATGCTCCATAGTCTTCTCATAAACAATTTCGTTCATCACCTGATACCGTTTCAAAGCCTTCTTCTCTGTAACACCAATGTACTGTTGCTCTAAAGCCACCGGTCTAAAACTGTTGTCAAAATAAAACAACCCAGTGTCTAACTTTACCCTTAAAAACGCGGCAACATCCTTATAATTTGGCAACGTCGCCGACAACCCCACCAACCTAACATCTTCTTGTGTTGACTCGATCATTCGAATAGTTCTTGCCACCAAAGCCTCCAAGACTGGGCCACGTTCGTCATGTAGCAAATGAATTTCATCAATTATAATCAATCTCACCAAAGAGGTAAACGTCTTCTCGCCCCCTTTTCTTGTAATAATATCCCATTTTTCTGGCGTGCACACAATAATTTGGGTCGCTCCGATTTGTTCGCGCGTTAACTGGTGATCGCCGGTCAATTCGGATACCGTTATATTATAATTGGAGAGACGCTTTCCGAAATTACCCACCATTTCTTGCACCAAAGATCTCATCGGGGCGACATAAATAATTTTGAAGTCATCCGCATTGATAGTACCGTCCGCATTAATGTGTTTCCCAATTTCTCGCATCATACACAAGAGCGCGACATTGGTTTTACCGGCACCTGTTGGCGCGCATAGCAACAGATTTTCGTCGGAATCCAAAGCTCTTTTGTATAGTTTGCTTTGGATTCGATTTAAAGTTTTAAAGCCGTCGAATACCGGTTGAACATACTTCGGCAGCTGATCGACTTGCATTAGTTTTTCGTTTTCCGCGAACTTAGGTTTAAGCGCCGGGACGTGAACCTCCTCATAGCCTTTGCGCTGTTTTCTAAATGAGCCATCTGGCAATTGGCAACGTTTGTTTGCCATAAAATGAGAGCCCTGTTGGAAAACCAGGTCTTCAAGGTCAACAAGCTGTCTGGACCCCGCCACTTGCGCACCTGTACCGGAATCGGCTTCGTTATGCCGATCTTTACGTCGTGATGACCGAGAGGCCGATTCTTCATCCTCTTCGTCTTCATTTTTACCGGTATCTAAGTGACGAAGGATTCTGGCTAAAGATGGATCTTCGCTCATACGCTCCCTTATTTTCTGACGTTCTGAGTCACTTTGCGATTTTGCAAGCAAGGTGCAATACAAGACTAAAGAAATTTACAAATTATTTAATACATGAAAGTGGTGCGCTTTGTGATGTCCCACATCTAAGTATGAAGAGAAAGCAAATAATGACTCCACAACTTCATTGTGCATTTGATGGTATGTCCTACTTGGAAAAATCTCTCTTATCTTTTTTTATACGACCCTAAACTACTGGAAAGTCAAAAATTATTTTAGTAAATGTTCAATTGTCTCCTATTCTGTTCGAATCAGATTCTACACCTTTTCGCCCCCATTTGCGGCATTTAATTCCAAAGGTGAGATTTGGTTAAATACATCCTAGCAACGTTTATTCTAATTCTTCCCTTGTCTTAAAATGGGACAATTTGAACAATTAAGTACTAACATAACTTGTTTTTTAGCGCATTTTTGCAAATTTATTTGTAAAAAGCTTTTGATCTCAATTTGGTTAGCTGGCGGCAGCAAATGCGCACCAGTAGAAGAACAGTTGTAGAAAGACAAGGAGTGTACATGTACCTACCGGGATCGTGTAATTAACAACTTTTGTTGTGAATTAGGCATATATCAGAGTTGTAAAAAACAAAAGAGAGTGGAAATACGCATTTTTTTTGGTAGTTATGTCAATTTAATTGTATCGTGAAAAGAAATAAAAAACCCATAAGAAAACGGGTAGTTTTCATCAAGCTTTGTTAACATTTTATGGCGACCGTGACAGGACACCGGGTTTGAGTGTTTTTTACGATATTTGTGTTAAATTGACACCGGTGGTGCGTTCGATTTCCGCGAAAAATGAAGCAACAAAGGCGATACCGCGACGTATGTCGTGATAGTTTTATGCGGGCCACCGACAAGCTACGGGGGTTATTAACGAAAACTCCTATAGATAGTGTTGCGTTGAAGGTGGCGGTTGAAATGCTGCGGCTTAAGCATTCAACTTTACAAAAAGCCGACGATGAAATAACAACGCTGTTGATGGGTGAGGCGGCCGACAGAGACGTCCTGGGAGCCGAACAAGCTACTTGCGAAGAATTCATGGAACAGTTCCTTGAGTTACAGCAGCAGGTGAGCGACCTAACCTCCAAGCCATCGACAGCAGCCGTTCCTTCCAGTGGCATCGGTAACAATGGGGTAAATCTTTACAACATACAAGGTAGGAGATTTATTACCGAAAGATTTTAAAAAATTTGATGGGAACGTGCGTGAATGGCTCGCGTTTTGGGCACAATTTGTGAAAATTCATCATCATACAGAACTCGATGAAATCGATAAAATTAGTTACTTAATACAAGCGACAGTTGCTGGCAGCCGTGCACGGCAGGTCGTAGAAAGCTACCCTGTGATTGCCGGTAACTATTCAAAAATTATAGACTCGTTAAAATCGCGGTACGGTCGAGAGAACTTGTTAATCGAAGTTTATGTACGCGAATTGTTGAAGTTGATTATTCAGAATGCGACTTCGACGCGAGAAATTGACTTAGTATCTCTCTACGATAAATTGGAAACCCAGTTGAGAGCGCTGGAGACCCTAGGCGTAACCACCGAGAAGTGCGCAGCAATGTTACTCCCACTTATTGAGTCGTGCTTGCCAGAGGAACTTCTTAGAGTGTGGCAAAGGACCGCGAACGCGTCTATAGCAAATTTATCAGATGCAATTCAGCGTGAAGAGATAAAACCTGCTAGGCGTTTAGCCAATTTAATGGCATTCCTAAAAAGGGAAGTAGAGGGCGAGGAGCGCATTGCACTCGCTGCTGAGGGTTTTGGTATCTCTTCGGGAGGGAAAGCTAGCGTACGTAAACAATCCGGGAATGACTCGTACTGTAGATTAAGTCCTACGTTTAAGAAAAAGGTAATATCGCAAAATGCTGAAACGATAGCGACAGCCGCGGGGTTAGTAGTCCAAGATGGTTTGAGCTGTGTTTTTTTGCGATAAAAATCACGAAAGTACAATGTGTGTTAAAGCTCAAAATTTTTCGCTAGAACAGCGCAAAGATATAGTAAAAAAGAAAGGGGCATGTTTTCGATGCTTGCGAGGTGGTCATAGCGTCAAGAGATGCCGCGCCACCGTAAAATGCATTATTTGTAAAAAGGAGCACATACCCTTAATGTGTTCTACATTAACGGATCCGCAAGTAGGATCGAAACCAGAAGCAAATAATGCGCATGACAAATCGAAAGCGGCTAATCTACCTGAGAAAGCCAAATCTGAGGATCTCGCGAATTTCACGTCAAGTCACGTTTTTCTGCAAACTTTTAGAGTCAATATTCGACATAACGGTGGCGAACGTACTAATGCGAGTACTAATCGACAACGCATCTCAAAGATCCTATATACTAAAAAGCACCAGCGACGCGTTAGGTCTTGAAGTAAAAAGACGCGCGGCGATAGCGCATGGGTTGTTTGGTGGAACAACAGTAGAACGTAATCATTCTTGTTACGACGTTACGTTGGTAAAGGGAGATTACTCCCGTACAGTAGAGGTATTGGATCAACCGACTATTTGTCATCCTATTCCGCCGGTATTTTATGGACCGTGGATTAAGGAGTTGAAACATATTGGGATTTCCTTGTCTGATGTAAAAGATTCCTCGCCGATAGAAATACTTCTAGGCGCAGACGTGGCAGGTCATATTTACACAGGAAAGAGGGAAGTTTTAGAATGTGGAATGGTAGCGGTTGAAACTGTATTCGGATGGACGCTCATGGGAAAAATAGACAGCCAGCGATTTAAATCAAACATGGAAATATCTTGTCTAGTTTCTGACAAAACAGTGACTTCGCTGTGGGAACTCGACGTACTTGGGATACGAGATCCTGTCGAGAAAAAACGAAGCGAGGAGGAGTTTCGAGAAGTAAAAGAAGTGCTTCGAGAAAATTTTACAAGTTGACGGAGAAGGGCGTTATGAAGTGCGACTTCCGTGGGCAGCGGATCACCCTCCTTTATCCAGCAATTACGAGATTGCAAAAAGGCGATTGAGTTTGACATTAAGAAACTTGGAAAACACCCAACTACACCAAGCCTACGACCAGGTTTTTTGTGAATGGCAATCGGAAGGAGTAATCGAGACAGTTGTTGGGGAGGTGGATCATCAACGAGGGCACTATCTGCCACACAGGCCCGTCGTGAAGGAAAATTCGACAACAAAAATTCGTCCGGTGTTCGACGCATCAGCGTGTTCGAAAATTTCACCGTCGTTAAATAATTGCTTAAGCAAGGGTGTCAATTTGATAGAATTGATCCCAACGATAATTTTGCGATTTCGTGAACTAAAAATTGGAGTGATTTCTGATATCCGAAAGGCGTTCTTACAAATTGGAGTTCACGAACCGGGCAGAGAATTTCTAAAATTTTTATGGGTTGATAAACAGGGCAATGAAAAGGTTTATCGACATAGAAGAGTAGTTTTCGGTGTGAGTAGCAGTCCGTTTTTGTTCGCAGCTACAATCGAACATCACCTAGAAAAATGTCTCGAAAAATGCGACACACCGAATCCATCTTATTCAAAAGACACGATCACGCGGTTAAATCAGAGTTTCTATGTGGATAATTGCGTGACCAGCGTAAAGGACATGGTGACTCTCGATAAGTTCATAAAAGAGGCCACTGAAGTAATGGCGGAAGCGAAGTTTGATCTTCGAGGGTGGGAGCACACGAGTTTGGACGAACCTCCTACTCCCAGCGTTTCCGTGTTGGGTTTGAAATGGCATCGAGAGAAAGACGTATTGACAGTCAACGGCTTTTCAATCAAAGAATTGATCCAATCGGAAAAGTTCCACGTGACGAAACGACTCATGTTATCCATCGCTCAGAAACTCTACGATCCTATAGGGTTTACCCTCGGTTTTACCAGTCCCGTGACTCTGAGACCAAAATCCTGTTACAACAATTATGAGGAAAACAACTGCAATGGGATGAGGAAGTCGACGAGGTGACGAGAAAAGCGTTTATGGAATGGGCGGAAGAATTAAAATACTTGGAGAGAATTGAGATACCACGGTGGATTGGTTTCGAGTCGAATACATCGCAACCATGGAGTCTACATGTATTTACAGACGCAAGTAAAAAGGCCTATGCCGCAGTGATGTTTCTGCGCATAGAGCAAGGAGGAGAGGTAAAAATACATCTCCTAGCGACAAAATCGAGAGTCACGCCTATTAAACCAACTACCATTCCTAGACTGGAACTTTTGGGCGCTACGATCGGTGTTCGTTTGTGTGACACAGTTAAAAAAGACCTAAAAGGCGACGGAAAGTGTTTTTATTGGACCGACTCCACTACCGTTCTTTCGTGGATACGACGAAAAGAAGAATGGACGGTTTTTGTGAGAAATAGGGTCAATGAAATTCGTCAGAATTCGGCGACCGTGACAGGACACCGGGTTTGAGTGTTTTGGTTTCGATATTTGTGTTAAATTGACATTTTAGTGGAAATACGCATTTTTTTTGGTAATGTCAATTTAATTGTATCGTGAAAAGAAATTAAAAACCCATAAGAAAACGGGTAGTTTTCATCAAGTTTTGTTAACAACTTTAGGGACGGCGCTACATGATGTGATGTCAGCGACATCTGGGTGCCATCCACGAGCGTGATGTACTAACCTGGAGATTTCAGTTTTTTCCTATCTTCTTCTACAGTTTTGGTCCGATTCTTTTTAAATTGGTGGCGTCGGAAAGATCTTGTAAACGTGCACAACTTATGCTGTAGTCACGAGTCAAAACTTCAAACGCGAATTGCGGGTGAACTGGACGTCGGAAGCGGGTACCGACAAAAGGAATATGGTAGCCTTCAACAAGACCTTACTGATGGTGGCTAAATATCTGCCACACAAAAATGCGTCCCTTTGAGATCAAAGGACACAAGGACTTTGATCATTTTTTCATACATTTATGAAACCTTCCCAATATTTCCTAACTTTTTTTTAAACAATTTCTGAAGCACTTTCAAGACCTTCTAGATACATTTTCAAAATTTCCTGCACTTTACCAATATTTCTGTACAACCCAAATATTTTCAAAATTTCCACAAAATTGTAACAACATTTCTCCAACATGCTTCATTTGAAATATTATTATACATTTCCGAATCATTTATATCAACATTATTGACACATTCCTGCATATTTCCAAATCTCTTGCACATTTCCAACATTTTCTAAAGTTAAACATAAAATGTCTAGATGATTCTGGTTACATTAAAAAAAATTCAAAATTTCCTGGAAAATTTTATAAAATTTTTCACTCAATCTGAAACATTGCTACAATTTTTTAAATGTATGTTCATTCAAGTATATACATTTTTTTTGCATTTTTAATATGTATATGCATTTCTAAAATTTTCTAAGTATACATTTTTAAAACATTTGAAAACGTTTTCCATAAACAACTGTGATGTGGCCACATATTTTAAAAGTAAATGTGTTCAAATGAAGATCCAGAGTCCAGTACAATCCAGCACAACTTTTTTTTGGTTGGTTTAACAAATTTGACATCTAGTTTCTGTCTAGTGCAACCAGTAATAATGAATGTGTGTTAATCGGGAAAGAGTACATACTAGTTGGCTTATAAAATCTTTTCCTAAGCCCCACTAACTAAGAAGAATAGCACAATTCAGCACCTTTTTCATCTTAATGATAAAAAAATGGTCATGTTGCTTAAAAAATTAGTGCTAAGGTTGGGGGGAGATACCTTACCCTCGCTTACCTACCTTTTATTTAGGAAAAAAACGGCACTTTGCAGAAGAAACATAGAACAACATAATTTTATCTTTGTTATTTTGCAACATTGCTATTATTTTCTCCAAAATGGTGCTATCAAAATTACAATTACAGCACTAAGACATTAATTAGAAAAATCAGAATTTTTTGGTTAAATAAATTAATCAGTCTCTAAAAAAACGTTTTATCTTAAACTGGAGCTTTATTTTTAAAGTCGATAGCTACCATTCAATGCAAGGAAAAAAAATGGGTCAAATGATGGCAACGTGTCTATAATCATAAGTAGATGTGGGACCAAAACATTTTTAGATTTTACTTACTTAACTGCCGATTTTTCTTTAACAGCTTTATGAAATCGAAGCAATCATATCCCAAAAGAAGCACAAGCTGATTTTCGCATTCTCTATCATCGTTAGCATCGCGAAGAACATTGAGGACTTCTCCAGCTTTTGCTTGCGACACCATGGCATCGTCGTAAATTTTCGAAAGTTGACGCTGTAACCAGTAAGCATCTATATCTAAAGGATGCAATGGTTTTTCCTTTTTGGATTCCTCTACACCACCCAGCTGTCAGAAAAAACTAATGAAGGTAAATCATCACAATGAGTGTATCTACTCACATTCTCTGCATGGATTGCAACATCTTCTCTAGCTTCTTCCCCTTCAGCATCGTCCATTTCCTCGCGCACCTCACCATACATATCCTCATCGTCTTCCTCCTCGGATTCTTCAAACTGCACATTGATACCATACGTTTCGTCTATGTTTTCTTCACCAACATTGGTAGTTTTCGTCTCTTCATTTCCAAAATCGGTGATCTTCTTGCACAAGTTGACCAACAATGCAAATCTTTCATCAGCAATACTGCCTAATATTAAATAAAACGTGAGATATTCAACATCTAGATAGCACGAAAAAATGCTTACCTAACAGAGCTTCCGTTTCCTTCTTCTTCTCCTTATCTTTTAAGCGATCATTCTTCAAAACCGACAAAATTTCATCAGCCGCCCCACAAAGAATATCCCTCGGCTGATCACCCAGAGCTTCTTGAAGGAAGCTAAGCAAAACCTCATAAGTTTGTCGAGTTTCTTGCGTTTTAGGTTTATAAATGATACCAACCATTTCGTCTATACCCTCCGATAATAAAGTAGCACCCTTCATTCTTGTAAAATCGTACTGCGCTTCGTCGCGCTTTTGCCTCCTGCAATTAAAACGTTAATTGTTGTGATTACTTATTATAACTATGCCATACTTGACTTTTCGTTCCTCCGCTTTGCCAGGTTTCGTTCTTTGGGCACGATCTCCCATTCTTGTTCCGACCAGTTTGCCCACGAGGGACATAACTTCTCCGGTGGCTTCATCTCTACTTCTGCGTTCGATGAGACGAACGTCAGCTTGTAGAACGAGATTTGAGTTCTAAAAAGTAAATAAACACATGAACGTTTGTAATACGTTATAACCTAACTTTAACGAGTAAAGTAATTATGCAGAACCGTAGGTGGATGACAATAACATGAACCTTTACAATAAAGTGTGGGGTTGTAGTAAGTCTCAGTGTCATTTAAAATTAGTTTTCAATAAACTTACCGCTTTATATTCGTATTGAAGCTGGCGAGCCGCAGCATCCGCCATGTTCGATTTACCAAATCAAATCAAGTACGTTTATGTTTTCAATTGTTGGTAGCATGGTACAATAATTGGTAGCATTGAACAACAGAACATATAGACAATGTATGGGGTGATTCAAAAGACAATCAACTATCATTTCGGTTAACAGGCTCTTGTTTCCATCCCTCAGTGTTGTTCTTGGACGTGGATGTAGAGTTTGTGTGGTTCAAAGAGATGTGTAACGTCACAGAATTGCTAGAATTATTCCTTATTATTACAGTTCCACGTATGACAGCCATATATATCCAGGTTTAAGACAGCACCTTAGGAGCATAGCTGGGTAATTATCTCAAATGAATCTATTTTAAACAGATATTTAAAATACAAAATACTACTTTGTATTTTGAATAAACTTATTCAGCAATGGGGATTAAGAGAAAATCTTCCGTTATTTATTAAGAGCTTTCTAACAAATCGCTCTTTCAGAACTAGAGTAGGCACTCTCACCTCAAATCCATACATAATGGAAAATGGTATACCGCAAGGTTCTGTCAGCGGTTGATGAATTGGTTTCCTCTGTCCGAGCACTACTTTCTACTAGTTTGTATGCCGATGACTTAATTATTTCTCACTCTGGTGAAGTCACTGATGAGGATATATACCTAATCCCCTATACAAGATATGAAACTGCCAAAATGATGGGTTTCCGTTTTTCTTCAGAGAAAATGAGTGCAATACACTTCTGTCGTCTTAGACATGAACATGAGGATCCGGTCTTACATATGAAGGGAAAGAATATACAATACCAAGAAACCATAAAGATGTTAGGTGTAATCTTTGATAAGAAGTTATATTTCAAGCAGCATATTGAAATGCTAGAAGCAATAGGTAACACTGAAATAGACCGATAGTTATAATAGTTTTGCAGACTTCATCACTTCTTGTAGGAAGGAAAAAAGGTCTACATATATGGAGGAACCATTTACAGGGTTTAAACGGTTTGTTTGTTTGTTTGAAATCAAAGTATGAGAACTGCACTTACAAAAGGATGGTAGGTAGATGGTTTTTAACGTAACACAACGAAGTTGAGGTAACGCTTATGTGCTGGATTTTCCGTCGTCTGTCTGTCTGTTTGTTCCATCGAGATCTTAGCCCTCGGGTCACCTAGACACTTCGGATTTTCGCTAATTTGATAGCGGTTATGGTCTCTTTTGCCCGTTACTCATCATTTATCAGCTGTATTACGCGGCAACGCCCACGAGTGGATTTTGAAACAATTTTTCTAGTATTTTGCTTGCGGTTTATTCGTATTACCAAATTGTTTTTTGTATAATAAAATTCCTTCTGGTCTGGTATGAGTTTATTTAAATTCAGGTGTGACATATGTTCTCGTATCCTGTCAGAAATTTCAATGTGTCTATGTTCCAGTGCTAGAGGCTTGATATAGATGTGTTCAGTTGTTGCTGCTGATGAGTCTATATGAGTATATAACGTTGTATACTCTCAAAGATCATTTGATACTCTTTGGTTTTAATTAGTATCAGTTACGTCTTTCAGGTAACTGGTAACTTCAATCTTGTTGTCTAAGTTCTTAAACTTTTATCGTGTTTGCTTTGGTAAAGAGTCCCCTAGGCCTAGGCTTTTCGATAGAAATTGTTTTATAATATAAATACATGTAAGCGGAACTTCGTTAAATATGAAAACATCACGTTTTATTACGGCTCGCTAATACGTGCACAACGGAGCTGTGATACAAGATGATAGCAGTGATGATAGAGGTCTTTTAACAGCGGTGATAGAAATATATCGTATATTTGTATGAAGGTGTGCACAACGGAGCTGCGAGTGCAGCGAGTATCAAGGGTTCTATACTCGCTTATAATTTGGAGAATAGATTTCACCATTCTTTTTGCGTGCTGCACTCTTGTATCGTGTGGAATTTAACTTTTCTTCAACACATATAGGACTTCTATGACAATTTTTCCACCGTTTAACAAGTCTTGGTTTAATTGTTTTTAAAATGTAATTAAAAGTACTTGGTTCCATTCGTAGATACTCATAAAAACGATCTGGATAATTCCGCAGTTCTTTGTACAGGTGATGATATTCACCCAGTGTACGTCGTTTTTGATTAATAGGGTGCACATGGTACTTGCGGCCAGATAACTTGCGTTTTCTACTTCTAATAAACCACTTTGTGGCTGCAGAGCAAAAGTATTCATCTTCGCTATTCGACATTTTGAAACTAACTACCATATCCGCAATGATGTTTTTAAGCTTCATTGTGCACACCCATCAGCGCACATCTTTCATCTATCATCTCTGCTATCATCTAGAATCACAGCTCCGTTGTGCACAAGTAAGGCAGCTTTATTATACCAGAGGGTGCGCGAAGGAGCGAGGCCCACATAGGGACTTCGTACGGGACATCAATATTGTATCGACCCATTGCTACTGTTCCATAAACGCCCATTGTAAATTGTTGTAATAGTGTTTAATTTAGGGGTGTTACTATTTATAGTTTTACATACATAAGAAATATAATACCTACCAACAATAAACAACAAGGGAACACAATTTTTTTGCAAAAGGAACAAAATGTATTCAACTGTTTATCACCAAACAGGAGCGATAGGAGACATCCACTACATGCTAAAGCCATATAGGCGCTGATTTAAACACTCAATCTGTAATATACGTAAGTACACGTGACATTTCCAGTTAGCACAGATTACTTGTGCAGTTATTAGTAACTATAAATTATGTGTTAACTATATTGCCGTGTTATTTTAATGTCAATTTTTTTTTGCTTTTGGAACGCCTCGTATAAGTACGTACGGGTGGGAATGATTTTCTTTTGGTAGTCATATTTTTTTGTGCTATCGAGAGTTTGGATTGGTTGTGTCATGTTCCTATAAAAAAAATAAATGTTAAAATAAAAATTAAGTAGGTATACTTAAGCAACGTGTAATTTAGTTTGGAAAAGACAGAAGAAGTAAAAGAAAAAGAAAAAGGACGTCGGGGAGAACGAGAGGGAGTGTGTGTGATTTTTAGTAAGTGGAAAAAGAATGAGCTTCGGGAAAAGAAGAAAAAAAAAATAATAGCCGTGCACGGTGAAGTGTAGTTTTTTTAAAAAAATAAATGTGTGTTGGACAATAAAGCGAAAAGGATGGGATTCGGCATGCAACCCGGAGAAATAGACAATCAAGGGCAGTACTTTTAATTACCGATTTTTTTACTGTGTGAATTTGACTATTATAGATTATAGTGTTTGCAAAAACTAATTAAAACTAATTAAAAATAGTGTTAGGGAGGTTTGTATTTGATGACAATTATAGATGGTGGAACATTGAGGGTTAGATTAGAATAGAGGAAGTTTTATTTAATTGGAAAAGGAACATTTCTTTTGTTTTTCTTCCAACCCAAACTTGAGATATTGAGTGTCAGGTTTTTTTTTGTAACAGGTCATGTTCGTGCCGCCGTCCTTGGGGTGAGGGGGGGGGGTGAATAAAAGTAGGGAAAAAATTAATAGAAGTAGGGTTGAGGCATCTGTGTTTGAGACAAGGTGAGGATCGACAAACGTTTGATTTGCTAGTCAGGGGAAGTGTATGAGTCAGAAACAGAAATAATTTCAAAATTATTAGTTAATTTGGGTAGTTCCCTCATACATAACATAATAAGAATAAGTTACTCTTCGCTATAAACTAGAAATTTCCTGTTGTTATGTCTACTTGGAGAACTTGTAGATATCTTTTAGATACTATGTAAAATAGAAATGTTTCCCAATTTTATTTGTAATCTTGCCCTTCAGAGCCATCTCCAAATCTCGCACATTCCAAATGGAATTTTTACAACCATATTTTCAATTAGGGAAATGTAACGCATACTACCGCCACCGCTGTTTCAAACATAGCAACTATTAATGTCTTATCTTATTTTTGATCTTACAACGTGCGCTATAGCCACTACTCACTCTCTGTCCAGAGATGTCTCTATAATACCGTTGAGAACATGCATTCCATAGATCATCATTCATGATGAGTGAGTAATATCTTCTTTCCTTATCTGCTTTATAGCGTCGGTAGTATATTGTTTGGTTTACATCTCTGTTTTTACTGTGTGATTGTTTTTTTGCACAAGATAATAAGGGAAAAAGGACCTAAAGTTAAGGTAAGGATATCTCGATTTCCCATTGTTCGTAATATTAGTGCTTACCTACCAGAACGTGGTCAGATTTTTGCTGTTTTATCGTTAAAAACTTATGCGTTTAGCAGCAGCAACAGGTTAGGAAAATTACCGGGTGTTGTTTACATTTTGTCTTCGCATTTGTCGAATATTGAAATCCAATTTTGGTTTGGAATTTTTAACACGGCCATTAAAATACGTTCAGTAATGAAAATAGTTTTGTTATAAAGCAATTTGTAAATTATGATATATGTATAGGTACCTATCGTTTTAGGATCAAGAATGCAGGTGTTTATATCGAGCAAGTAGGTAATGAGTGTAAATGAACGTTTGGTCTTTGGTCAAAAGCTTAAAATTGCGAGGTTTTTTGGTGGAGCACGTCTTGAACTACCATTGAATTTTTCCCAACAAAACATGTCAAAATAACGACGAACAAATGTTTCAATGGACGAACCTAATTGCCTCCATACCTAAGTAGAAGTGGTTATATTTTTTGGCGTTTCACCTCCGATTTTAACACCCTGGTGGTGTACCTATTTAGGTAAGGGTGTTAGGATTTATGTCATGCAGAAATTTCTGAGGATATTTCAGAGAGCAGTACTCGTCAAAATAAGAAAAAAATGCAATATTTGCATGATCTAACGGGCGTCATCTTCGTAATACAGGGAGGCAAAGTTTCAATTTTTTGTCTCGTATTTTGCGTTTTCGTTCTCCCGTTCTGTCTCTTTCCTTTTTAAAAATGAGACAACACGTGGTTTTCGCAATGAGAAGCTCGCACTCGATATTAACCAGTTCCTAGCGAGTTTATAATGGTGCGGTGTCTGTCCGTCCGTCCGTTAGCACGATATCTCGTAAACGAATAGG